GGGTTGTAGCCCACGAAAGCTTATGCTCTAATAAATTTGTTAGTCTCTAAGGTGCCACAAGTACTCCTATTCTTTTTGAAAAACAGATGTTGATTTATATTCCACCCCACCCCACCCCAAAAAAATATCCATAGCTAAGAAAGGTGACAACTCCACAGAACTGGGACAGGCCAGAGAATCTGTCTTTGCAGTTAGGCAACGGGGTCCAGAGGCCTTCACCTCTAGGGAACAAGTTCCAGTGTGACTCTAGGTTAGGGGTACTAACTAGCTCGGGGCAGGGAATAAGATAAGGAGCATTTTGCACCTAAGGCACTGCATCAGATCCAGTCCAGTCCCAGAGCAGGCTGGAAGGTGACCCAAAGGCCCCCCCCTCTGTCGCTGCCCCATGGCCCGCGTGAGGCCCTTGGTGGGTCGCCGTCCTGTCAGTTCTCGGTGGGCCCATGTCCCATTGAAAGCAACACTAACCGGGCTCCCCGGCCCCAAGGGCTGATCAGGCCAGAGCGGGGACTCCCCGCTGCGGAGAGCGGCGTGCAGCCCCGGAGCTGCCCGCAGCGCCCGCCGTGCTAGTGTGTATGGGGGGCTGTGAAAGGGACGAGCCACGTGGGTCCAACTCCCTGCGCGAGAGGCCAAGCCCAGGGGGTGCAGCGGCGCGCGCCCCGCGACAGGCACGTGTGTCGCGCCTGTGCCCCCCGCGGCCGCGCCAGACCCCGTCATGCGCGCTGGGGAACTCAGGGTCACCGCGGCAACGGGGACGCTGCTGGTGCGGGGCTGAACTAAGGCCCCGCCCCGTTTCTGCTTGAAGTCCCTGAGCAACCCTCTCGACCCGCCCCCGCCCTTCCCGGCAGGCTCGCGATGCCGGAAGTGCCTCCTCATTGGGTGAGCGGGCCGGAAGCGGAAGTGTGAAGGATGGCGGGGGCTGTAGCTGCGGTGTTGGGGCTCTTGCTGCTGCTGGGGTCTCCGGGCGCCTCGACGGGGCCCCCCCGGGACAGCCTGCGGGAGGAGCTGCTGCTCAGCCCGCTCCCTTCCGGGGACCTCGCCGCCACCTTCCAGTTCCGGGCCCGCTGGGACTCGGAGCTGCACCGGGAGGGAGGTGAGGGGCGGGGCTGGATTGTGGTGGGCGAGCCCCGGGGCGGGGTTGGTAACCTGGGCTGGGGGGAGCTGG